TTGGCTTTCTGGGAGATCTCCTTGATTTTGTTCAGCATTTCTGCGGAGAGACGGGACCCCTGAGCATATCCCAGGGCTGAGGGAGATCTCCGTCTCACACCCCTCCACAGACCCCCCACTCACTTATCAGTGGCTCCTGGGCCCGGTGCAGTCTCTCAGCCGTCTGGTTGAGGGCCAGCTCGGCCCCACATGCCAGTGACTGGGCAGACTGGGAGAAGTTGTTCAGGATGTTGGTGCAGGGTCCCTGCACGGCCATGCACAACGCCAGCGTCAGCATCAGCATCTTCCCCTCCTCTGCAGGGGACAAGGGAGTCCTAGGGCTCAGCTGGGGCCCAGCACACCCCAGATCATGGTGGTGGGACCAATGGCTACTCACTGGTGAAGATGTGGGGCAGTGACAGCAGCACGGTGACCCGTGCCCTGACGGAGAAGGCCATGCCCAGCCCCAGAAGTGCTCCCAGGCTGATGGTGGAGACCAGGCAGTACCTGATATCATGCCCCTGGGCCAGCAGCACCAGAGCCCCGTGCAAGCTGGCCAGGGTCATGCCCAGCATGAAGCTACCGGTGCTGCGAGCCACTTTCTGTGCCTCAGTCATCTCCTCCATCTGGGACATCTTGTCGCCAGACTAGGGCTCAGGGCTCTGCCCCTGATCCCCGGCTCTGCCCAGTCACGAGATGAGCCCTGTGCTGGGCCAGGCAATCCCAGGTTCCCAGTGCTCTCCCGAGTTCCTGATGTGCCCCCAAGCTTCCAGTGCTCTCCCAGGCTCTGGGCAGTGGATGGAATGGGTGGCTCACAATGCTGCAGTTCTAGGGAACTGGGTTCCAAGAACCCATCCTGCTGCTCTGGGTTTCAGGGGGCCATCCTGTTGCTGTTGGTTCCAAGGAACCATCCCACTGTTTCCAGGAAGAGTTGCAAGGCCATGGAGCCAGCAATGGCCTCGGAGCATGAGCCTTTGACTGGGGCAAAAGCACCTGGGAGAAGGGCACCTGGGAGAAGGGCACCTGGGAGAAGGGCACCTGGGAGGCAGAAACCACCCAACTCCAGTGAGGTCCCCCCACCCTGGTGCTGAGGCTGCCAGTGGGCAGGGGATGGCAGGGGTGACTCCTCCTGTCCCCCCCAGCCCTGAAGCGGGTGATGGTTGCCCTGCTGCCCACCCCGTGCAGCCGGTTCCTCTGGAGCCCACCGGACCAGTATCGGAGCATCAAGGTCCTACTGGGCACCAGCACTGGGATCCTCTTCGGCCTGGGTGAGTGTGTGCCAGTGCCAGTGCCAGGCATGGTTACGGGCCAGTGGCATCATGGGCTCAGGGGACACTGGTGGGTGTTTCAGGGCTCTGCCAGCTCCTCGTTATTCCCCTGAACATCCCAGAGATACGCAAGGTGCAGATCTCCTTTGGGGTGGCAGGTAAGGACAGGGTCGCCAAGGTGGCCAGGGTAATGGGAGCCATGGGGAGCCCTGGGAGCTTCTTTGTGGGACTGTGGTGACAGCCCTCTCCTCCACACAGGGATGACAGCCTTCGGCTGGGCCACATCCCCCCACTTCCGTTGTGCCAGCCTGCTCCTGGCCCCCAAATTCATGGGCAAGGAGGGCCGGGTCTACGTCCTCTCCTTTGTCCTCGCATCCATCTACAGTGGTAGGTCCCTCCATGTCTCCACTCCCCCCACCAGGGGGGTCCCTGGGGGCTGGCAGGGTCTGAGGAACAGGGTGTTCCAGGGCCTGTGGCCAATATCTGGCACAACCTGGAGGAGGTGACGCGCTCGATGGGCTGCGTGACGGAGATGCAGATCACCCACACCCGCCACCTCTGGCGCATGTCCACAGCCCCCCTGCGCAAGGCCATGGAGGACATTGCGGTGAGGCGGGGGGTCCTGGGGAGCTGGGGGGCAGCTGGGGGGGCCAGCCTGCTTATGTGTGTGTCCGTGGCAGGATGCGGGCTACGACCTGCGCCAGCAGAAACAAGACCCTAGGCAGGCCCCCAGCACCCAGAAGCGCTTTGAGACGAAAACCAAAATGCGCTGCGACTGTGAGCAGGGCGGGCAGGGGGCTGGCAGCACAGGGTGGGAGGGGGTGGGATCACCACAGCCCCCCACAGGGCACCCTGGGGGATAGGGAGGGTGCGGGCAGCAGCCAAGGGCTCCTTTCCCTCCCCCAGATTTGGTCGACCTGGGCATGAAGCGCTGCCGGAACTGGTTTGACGAGAAGTACAAGGCCTGCATGGATGCCGTGTACCTCCCCCTCATCAACAACCTCCTCTGCCTGCCCATGCAGTTCAAATTCCTCTGCCACCTTGCCAAGGGTGGGTGACACATGGGACCCCCACCCTGCCCTCCTGGAGTGAGGGGGCTCCAGCTCTGACCCTCCTTGGGATGCAGCCACAGCCAGTGCTGGGGCAATGCTCCGGGGCCCCAGCTGTGCTGGCACTGTCCCCTCCTTGTCCCCATTCTGTCCCTACAGTCATGCGTGCCTGGTGCCAGGAGAGGATTCCCGTGGAAGGCAACTTTGGGCACATGTATGACAAGGTGAACGACTCTGTGGGCAACCTCAGTGAGGAATTCAGTGCCAGTGTTTACTCTCAGGTGGGTCCCTGTCCCCTCTGCCCAGGGCCGGGGAGAGGGCCAGATCCTTCCAGCCCCATGGACCCTCCCCATGCCACAGGAGGTGCACCGTGACATGCTGATGGGCATCAATGTGTCAGCAGAGCAGCTAGTGGAGGATGTGGCTGGGCACCTGCGGCAGCAGGGTGCCCGCGTAGACCGGGCCTTCACCTTCTTCCGCATGGTGCTCTCCTGCACCTTCCTCCTCGTCTTCCTCTCGTGAGCCCTGGGATGGGGGGGTCAGGGGGCAGCCCTGTACCAGCTGCAAAGCACTAAGGTGGTGGCCTATTTCACAGCAGTCTCTGGGGGGAAGTGTGGACAAAGCAGGGGAGCCCTGGGGGGGCTGCATCTGGTATTTTCCTCCCCTGGAACCCCACTTCTTGCCAGGGCCTTCTCCTACACCAAGCGGTACTGCAGGGACATCTGCTTTGACAACCTCTACATCACCACCTACTTTCGCCAAATTGATGCCCGCCGCAGAAAGCAGGTGGCGGGGGGAGAAGGGGCAAAGAACAGATCTGCCACCCCCAAAAGGGGGGGCTGTGCTGAACTGCCCCCCACTCCTCTTCCCCAGAACAAGCGGACGCTGCTGCCTCTGGCCCCG